TTCCCTGAAGTTACTAACGTGTGTATTTTGTTATTAGAAAGAGGTACGAGGCATCAAAGTAAGTGCTTTAATGTTTTTATTGATGTTATGATATAGAGTTCATGCTTAGATTGTTATTTTGATTCCTATTATCATGTTTAGGGTAACTTTAATATCAAATATGCTTATTATGATTTCTATGATGTCTTTTATGTTCTTCCTAATATTTATGATTGTTAGTATCATGTTAGGGTTAAAGATTTGATTTTTATTGCTTAGTGACATGCTAGGATTTGTTATTAATCTTGTTAGTATCATGCCTAGGATCTTGCTATGCTTTAACATGATTATTTTATGATTAATATGATTGTTATTATGATGATTATTGTCTTGATCGTTATTATGATTATGATTATTATAATTATTATTATGATGATTATTATTATGATTATTGTTTTGATTATGATTATTATTTTTATTATGATTATCATTATGTTGCTTGATATTTATTTATTGCTTGATCACGCCTTTTATGCATGTTTAAAGGGAATTGGTACTTGTAATCACGCTTAATAAGATAATTAATAATCTTATTTAAGGTTAATATGATCATAGTTTATTTGTGCATTAAATTCAACCAACATAGATTAAATAGGTTTAGGGTTAATCCTATTGATTGTATGTTAGTCAAAAAGCGCACATGAATACGATCAGAATAAAGTAGAGGCCTATTATTAGGGCAAGTTCAATCTCTTTTAGGTTGGATTTGTACCTTCATCCCCGAACCCTTATTTGGTTCAAGGCCTTATGGAGTTGACGATCTCTTGGATCGTTAAGGGGTGTAACCTTCACCCTGTGAACAGTTTACAAGTTCCTAAAACTTGTTGGCGACCCTTTTGCTCTATCTTCTTCCCTTTTGGACGCCACCGTACTTTAGTGTATGATCACAGTGGGGTTCAAGCTAGGGGATTAACTCTTGAAATTATTCCCTACATTATGGTTCATATAATTTTTATTGATGTTTTAAGCATGGGAAATGAGCTATGTAAGTGTCTCAGTACACAAGGAATAAATTATATGTTGGTGCCTTAGTGCACTTAAGGTGTTTTTAACACCGAGGGATAGGATTTGTGGCACTTTATGCGTTTATGGTGTCATTGGCACCGAGGTAGAATTAAAAAGGGTTCAACATTAAATCTTATGTGGTAACTAATTTTTCAAGAATTAAATTGGTATGTTTGATTGTTTGAATAATTATTTTTGATCGAATGATTATGGTTTGAGAGTCATCACCAAGTCTAACAATCTATAAATAACGTAAAGTGAAAGAGATTACGCACCAAAACTCTTGGAACGTATATACCTTGAGTATGAACTTATGGGGGGAGTTATGTGACTTTATATTTGATCATAACTTCTACTGGAGTACAGGACGATGTACATTCCTTTTATTATTATTATGCGCAGGAATTCCGCCACTTACGAGTGATTATTGATGCTAGCATGGTTAGCTCCCGTGTCAGTAACCTCAATTTATTGGGAGAGGTTAGTAGGGAAACCCGTTTGATGTGTAATTAATGCTAAATAAATTATGTAGTTGTCTAGTGAAAAGTTTTGTTGAATGTTGTATGCTTGAAAAACAGGTACAACAAGGTAAATCGTGTGTTGATAGGTAATTCCATGTCAGTGTGTTAATTACGCTTAAGTACTCCGCTTTCCTGTTTGTGTGTTTTGTATGTTTATTGGTCGTGTCTTTACCTTGGCCTTATGATGACCAATTTTTAATGGAGAGTAGTGGAAACAGGTAGAGAGAAGTTTTTCAGGTGATGAAGCATATTCATGAATGGGCATGAGTAAAGAGCAAATCATGCTAGTTTCTATAAGTATATGATGTGTTTAATGCTTTAATTATTTATGATATTATCATCATGCATGCTTAACGCAAAAGTTTTGAAGTTGGTTTGGTTTTAATAAGGGCCTATAATGGTTCCAAGTTGTACGTTGATTTTATTTTACTTCGTTTGACTTTGGTTTGACTTTGCTTTCGTTGGTTGACTTTTTAAGTTAACTTGTTTTGAATGGTTTTGAAATTATTCTTCCGCTGTGTGTCTTTGATAGTTGTCTTAGCCGTTTTCATGGTGGCGGTAATGTCTTAAATATTCCTATTTAAAGTTTTAAACAGGGTAAAACAGGTATTTTAAAAGAAATGAATTTCTAGGGTGTTACAGGACACTTCTTTATGGTATCATCATTGGATTGGTATAGCCCCTTTATATAACATTCTTGATAGGGACATTCCTCAATCCAAATGTCATTGGAGAGTTTCAAATATTATTAGGAATGGAACTTGGTATCTTAATGATGTCAAGTATCTTCTTCCTGATTATATTTATAATTTGACCATCTGTACCCCTCTATCTATTATTGATTCCCATTTGTCTCCTGATCAGATTAGATGGCATCCTCATAAATCAGGTTCCTTCACCATCAAATCTGCTTATTTTCCTTCTACCAAACCTTCTTTTATATCCTTGAATTTTGATTTTCATTGGAATATTATCTGGAAGCTTAAGGTTCCTTTTAAATATAAAGTCTTTATGTGGAATTGTGTCCTTTTTATTATTCTCACAGCTTCCCTTCTTGCTTCTAAGTACCCAAAATTTGACCCTATTTGCTCAAGATGTAGCTCATAACCAGAAACTTCCATTCATCTGTTTAGAGATTTCCTTTCCTCTATTATTCTCTGGAAGATGATTCTTGTCAAACTCAAACCTCCTGCTTCTTTTGATTACTCAGTGTTTATGAACTCCAATTGGGAGGATTGATTGGTTTTCAATTTTTCGAAGACTCAAAAATGGAAGAGCATCTTTCTTATGGGGATGTGGCAAATTTGAAAGCTTAGAAATGGGATCATTTTCAAGAATGAAGTCTATAATTGTAACTCTTTGTTCAACAGGTTTATTTTGGATTACCAAATCAACTTTTTTGTTTTACAGGGTAATTCAAAGGGTAAGGAGAAAGTTAGGGAAACAGGAACTTCAGTATCCTCTATTTCTTCAGGATGGAAACCACCTAGGTCGGGCTTTTTGAAGCTTAACATTGATGGTGCATGGAAGAGTTCTTCAGAAGGTGGAGGTGGTGGTGTCTTTAGAAATGAAAAGGGTGCTTGGTATTTTGGGTACTCAAGCAAATATAATGTCCCTTGTGCCCTAACTTCAAAGTTATATGCTTTACGTGAGGGGGATGAATTATGCAAGATTTTCCCAGTCAAGTATCTGGAGGTGGAAACTGATGCCAAGGCTTTAACTTCTCTGATGGATAAGGAGGCTGACAATACTCATCATGAACTAGCTGATGTAATCATTGACATAGGAAGGTTGCTCTTGAAAAAGGATTTGGTAGTCATTTTCACCCATATTCCTAGGGAGGGCAACCAGCTAGTTCATTATTTGGGCCAATATGCAATGGATATGTCTGTTGGTCATAAGCCTCACTATGTCATTCCAACAAGTGTTGTGGCTGCTTTTGAAGCTGATATCTCTGGAATTGGAAGCACCTCTGCTTCTTAGCTTTCTACTTTCGCTTTCTCGGACGTTGGGTTGTATCTATTTCTATCTTTTGCTTGAAAAAATGAAAACTCTGTGGCGGTTTTGGTTCATATTTCTATTTTGTCAAACCTTGAAATATTGAACCTTAGGTTGTAATGGTTAGGGCCTTGTTTAGTCCTATATACATATACTTCCTCCATTTTTTTATTATTACACCACTTACCTTTTTAGGAAGTTTCACAAATATTGCACCATTTTCTTCTTAGGAAAAAAAATATTCGCGTTCACACTACAAATACCCAACATACCCTTCCTTTTTCACACTTACTTTTTAGTTTATCAATATGTCACATGGGCAATTTTGTATTTTTACCTTTCTCTTTTTTTTTTTTCCACTATCAAAATATTTGTACCCAACTCTTATAGTGCAATAATAAAAAAACGGAGGTCTTATTGCGTTAAAATTTTTTTTTTTTTTTAAAAAAAAAGAAAAACTATTGCGAGCCCCTCCAGTTTAACTTTAGGGCCCATGAATATTGGGCCTTCGCCAACTCTCAACTTGGATACGCGTTAATTACCAAGCTCTGTCGCTTGATGAACAGGTCTTCAGGATAATGACTTCATGAGTATTTGTTGTAATTTTTCATAAAAACTATGTAGTGGTCTAGTGGATCGATAGACTACAGTATATAAAATGCAAAAAGACTTGCGTGGACCTGGTCCACAATAATGTTATTGTGGACCCGAGGTTTATACACACACAACTGACATTATATTAAACATAGTAACCTTTAATTTTTACATAGTAACCCTATTTTTAACATAGTAACTTTTATTAAAACTAGTATAACGTTTAATATTATTGTGAACTTAAAGTATAACGTTATGACCCTAATTTTAACATAGTGACTTTTATTATTCATATTAATTAACCGGTATATAAAATATTTTATTAAAAAATTAACCTCTTATAGCCTATATATTACCAAAATGACTTTTATTTCAACATAGAGGCCTTTTTAAGTATTATAGTGACTCTTTTTTTAACTAATAAAATAACCATAGTTTTCCTGATGTTAGTGGTCCACAATAAATTAGTGTGAACCAGGTCCATTTAAGAATTTGTATATAAAATGATAGAAAGTGGAGAGTTTTTTTTTTTTCTTTAAAAAACTTTTTTTAATATTAGAGGAATTGACTAATGAGTAATGACTATTAAGCAATTAATTAACTAGCGTTGACGACAAATAGTGTATAGAACTAAAGATAGATTTTGGCTAAACTGAAAAACAATGATTCCATTAAAAAAAATACTACCTCCATTATCTATTATTTACAATGATTTGACATAAAATAGAGAGGAAAATAGTCTAATCGTTGTAAATAATACGTAACGGAGATAGTAAAAACTGAAACAATGATATATTAAATAGATTAAACGTTCTAAAATTCATAAAAAACATAACAAAAAACTACAAATTAAACAACATACTTGCATCATTAAAAGACAACAAATTGAACGCAAAAACAACATAAAATCGATCACAACAACAAATCGAATACAAAAACATACACGAAACCAAACACCAACACAACAGAAAATCGATTCAAAGCCTCGGAACGATGACATTCTTCCTAATCAACCCCAACTCATTACACAAATCAGGATACAACCCTTTCCTAATTTCACAATAAACCTCACCATTCCACTTCTTCTTCAACAAATCTTCCCCTAATTTCAACCCTTTTTCCAGAACTTCATCCCCATTAATCCCAACCACAACTTGATCAACAACCCCCATTTTCACACCATCTTCCCCCTTCAATTTCATCCCTCTCATCATAATCTCTCTCCTCCATTTCCACCCAACTTTCTCCCTAAACAACACATTAAAATACTCGGGAAAAGTCATCCCAATATCAACCTCACTCATATACAACACCCCTCTATCCTTCCTCATCACCACATAATCGTGCGCTAGCGCAAGCGCGAACCCACCTGCCGCGGCATGCCCATTAATAGCCGCGATCGTTGGCATCGGAAGAGACACCAAATCAGCCACCAAAGGTTTGAAAGATTCCACCATCTGGTGTAAGTGGTTCACGAACTTTCCGGGTTGCGATTGCGCCCATTTTAAGTCGAACCCATTTGAGAAGAATTTTCCGGTTGCGGTTGTGATCAAGGCAAAAGGGGTTTGAGGTTCGCAAATTGATTGGGATTTGATGTCGGCGATGGCGGAGCGGATGGTGGCGATGAGGGTCGGATTAAGGCGGTGTTCGTCGTTGTTATCGTCGCTTTTAAGTGTCAGGATGAAGATGTTGCCTCGTTTTTCGACGCTGCACATTTTCGCGTTTTGAGGATGAAATCTAAGATATTGAGAATTTTTATTTTAATGAAACAATGAATACTTATATAATATTGATACGGATTATAAATTAGAGTCAATACATAAGGTCACTCTCATCTCATGTACGGATTATTCATGTTGATATAATTATAAATTAATTAGGAAAAGATAATAAATCTTGGGTTATGGACGTCACTACGTCAGTTATGACATACACCCTTCCTTTTGTATTGATAGTAACTCTAAAATTTAAGGATTTTTATAGGGTGGGATGCAAAAAAAAAAAAAAATTTATAAAGTATGGTTAATAGGAGAAATAAATATAAATAAATAAAAATAATTTAAGAAAAGCAGAGCAGCTCTAAACAGCAGGGCCTAAATGGGGTTTAGTTATTAATAAGTAAAAATTATAAAAATTGAAAATTAATAATCTATTCATTGAGACAAAATTTAACAAATACTCACAAGACTATATATATATATATATATATTTTTTTTTTTGGATTACGAACATTAGTCAAAGAATAAAGCAAGTATTTAAAAGCAATGGGAGTGTTTGTTAACTTCTATGTGACTGACAATTTTCATACTATTGAATTAATATACCAATCTTTTTACTGTTTTTTCACCATATATCATTGAGTTTTAATTTAATTCACCATATACCACCAAAAACTTTCTAATTCACCATATACCATTGAGTTCCTGTGCAATACTACAAAATATCTTTTTTGGTAACTGCTGTCAGCCTACTAGCTTGCCGTTTGGGGTATTATACTAATTCACCATATACCCATGTTTATAAAGTTATTTCACCATATACCACTAAATTAAAAGATATTTTACTATATACCCAGAAATTACAACGGTTATTAAAAAACAAAAAAAAAAATAGTCATTAACTGTTATAATGGATAGTTTATGTATATAAACATAATACTAGAGGGATTGAAGCAACACTTCACCCTTCTAGAAGCATTTGTAAAGATGTAAACACACTCGAAATCATCATCGTCATCTTACGAATATGCATATGCCAAACAAAGCTTGTACAAGTGAGAAGAAATTTGCAATAAGGAGTTGTGATTTGGCAAAATATCCATAAAAGTTGTACTATAAGTGGGATATATGAGATAAATTTCGATAGTGTAAGGGTAATACCGAGCAAAATGTCCTCCCGGGTTATGAATTTCAAAGCAGAGGAAACATAGACACACAATGTCATGGAGATGAGAGTATGTTGAAAGAGCTCAAGAAAAGAGTAGTAAAGCAGCAAAAAATAGTAGATGCAATAATTAAAATAGCCATTGTAAATTCTTAGTATATGGTGAAATATCTTTTAATTTAATGGTATCTGGTGAAATAACTTTATAAACATGGGTATATGGTGAATTAATAAAGTAAGCTAAACGACAGACTAATGACAGTTATAAATATTGCACAAGAATTTAGTGGTACATGGTAAATTAGAAAGTTTTTGGTAGTATATGGTAAATTAAGTTAAAACTCAGTGCTATATGGTAAAAATTCCGATATTTTTAACATTTAAAAAAACTTCAACTAATTATTTGTGATAGAAGCCTATAAGATTAGCACAAAGTCTTATATGTGGCTGGCCACACGGTGTGGCCATCCATTATGAGGGTTAATTTGTTAGTGTTATTGGGGTTACTCGTTCTGTTTTACCTGGGTTACTTCATCAGTATAGAAGGGAGTATAGAAGGGTTACTTGGTCAGTATTACAAGGGGTTACCGGGTCAATGTTACAGGGGTTACTTTGTTTTTTAATAAGTGGTCATATGATGTGGCCAGTCACACACAAGACGCACTGTAACATTAGAGGTACATACCCAACTAACGTATTTACGCCTTTTACGGAGTATTAAATATGAATTTCTTAATGGAGATTATCATGTACACATCGCGTGCATTAATTGCTATTAGATACGAAGTATATATTTAACAAATACTTTTTTTTTATTTATATACTTCGTATATAGTTGTAATATTTTGACTTTTACACTATTTATATGCTTCACTTTGACTAGATTTGACAGTTTATACTTAAGTAAAAATATAGCCATGTAAAATCTTGTTAGATTCGTCTCAATTTATACGATTTTAATATCAAATGTTTATAATTTTTACATATTGATAATTAAATATATTAACGTCTGAGTACATGCATTGACAAGCATGAAAAGAGAAATGTTGCAACTAAAAAAAAGAACAGAGTATATATTTAAAAACTTTAAATAAATGTGTTAGTACTTAATTTCAGTATGGCAGCATTTTTTATTTTTATTTTTTTAATTCTCCTAGTAGGCAAATATTATAACCTCGTTCACTCGTTGAGCATATTACTTCCATCATTGCTTATGTTACAACTTTGTAAAGTGATGGTAACAAACAATACGAGAAAAAAGCTATAGGAGTAATCCACAATAAATATGAAAAGCTATTGGTGAACAAACGCAATAATAAGCAAGAAACAGACATTAATAGCAAAATCATTAGTACAAACCTTTTTTTTTTTTTTTGTGTGTGGGGGGGGGGGGGGAAGGGAGGGAGGAAGGGATATTAAACTTAATACTTCGCATATCTGAATTTGGCAAACAGAGTTCCCTAAATTTTAAGTTATTTGATGCTACTTGTACTTGCAGCATCAGAATTTAGAAATTGTACACATAGAAGGCCTGAAGTGTATCATTACAAAATCAAAAGAATGATAAGACTGTATACTATAATCATCCATATAATTTTACATCAATTTTACACTCTCATAACCAACTATTATACCTAAGTCTGCATGTAGGCTACATCAAAAATGTGATCCTTGGCGTAGTGAGAATAAGGAAAGAAAGAAGGGCTAAAAGATAGGGGCAGTACATTCTACACAATCACCTAATGACGCCTGGAGGGGAAGGGATTCTTTGTACAAAAAGACTAAAGTGAAAATGAACTATTTCTTTGGTGGCTTTGCACGTGATTTCATCATGGTTGCTCTCCGGGCTACATCCCATGGCTTATGAGGAGCAAACACACCAGCCTGAGCAGCGAAGAATGACTCATAACCAGGAGAATCAAAGGCAAAACCTGTATGTTTTGATCTCTGCCCAGGGAGTTGGGACAGAGCATAGCTCCGTGCCTCTTCCGCAGTGAGATGATCCCGAATCTCTAAAAACTGTGCCCTGTGATTATCATCAGGTTCATGCCGATGAATCTCTTGTATAATCTGATAATCATATGGAGAAAACCATCTCTGTACACTGAAATCAGACAATTGAAACACTCAGAAATTCAACCTTAATCATCAATAAATCTGCACCAGCCATACATTGTACCTAGAAGAATCACGCTTCAAAGAAAAATAACTCAGTGTCTCACCCTTGGTATAGGAAGTCCCCGACAAGAGCGACAACAGGAACCAGAAATAGTGCAAGATAAAAATATGGAGTGCTCATTAAAACAAATATGACGAAGAAGATATTTTCCTGAAACATGATATGTAAGGCATTAGTACACAGGCAAATGGGATCAATACAAGAACAAGAGAAGGCCACTAATTAACATACCCCCCCCCCCCCCCACCCCCACCCCCAAAAAAAAAAAAAAAAAAAAAAAAAAAAAAAAAAAAAAAAAAAAAGACTTGTATGTTCAACTAATCAAGGTTTGACACTATCAGATACAAGAATGTGGATTCCTAAGAAAATAAGAACACTGCACTTCTCCATCTACTCAACAATTTGTCTCACAACCTTTTACCTAAATGTGGAAAAACAGCCTAGGATAGAAAAAAAAAAAAAAAAAGTTGAATTTTGCATGTCCAGTGGTGGAATTTTCATCCACCACTCCATTCATCAGTATTTTTGTACATATTAGATACTTACACTAACAACTGCAACAATGAACACCATTTATGTTCTTTTCCGACAGAGATTTTTGCAATGAGCAAGTTATGAGTTTGGAGTAAATTTTGACAAATGAGCATCTTCAAGAAATCAATCAATAAACCTTTTAAGATTGACTCAAATCCATTCATGTTCTTTTCCCAACAGAGATTTTTGCAATGAACAAGTTATGAATTTGGAGTAAATTTTGACAACTGAGCATCTTGAAGAAATCAATCAATAAACCTTTAAGATTGACTCATTTGTGTGGATTAAAAAAAAAAAAAGATTGACTCACCTGCCGATCGCCGTTAGTCATGATACCAGAGTAACCAAAGATGAAAAGGAACCATGCTATAATGCTCCCCCAAACACTTATATGGTGCCACCTTGTAATACTATTGCAGCACAAGAGAAGACGTAAATTGACAGTGACGACGACACAGGTGAATGCCATTGTGCTAATGTCCCACAAACCAAACATCTTGCCAGCTGAAGTTTGAGGCTTTGAACCAGATGTGGTGACAAAATAAAAGAAAATAATTGACTGGTACAGGGAGAAGAAGGTCCAAATAGCAACAATTCTCCATTCAAAAAAGGCATTTCTCAATCCTTCCATGTATAGCTGAGGATATTTCTTTGAAAGAGATGCACTAACATCCTGGTATTGAACAAAAAAATTAGCAACAAAAACGTCATTTCTAAAAAGAAATTCCATACTCAATATAATAGTTAGGAAACGCAACCTTGTCAAATAGTCCAAGCATTAGAACAGGCAGGGATGTAAAAAACACATTGTAAAATGCTTGAAACCAATCATCATAATATCTTTGACCAGAGAACCCAGCTTGAAGGGTGAACCAAAATTGAGTAAGTGTAAATGTCAGATTTTTGTAAAAGAAATATGTTACAACCTGCAAGAAAGAGCCCTTAATGTGAGAACCAACAAAAATGGTTAGAAAAAGCACAAATAGTAAAGAGACATAACAGGCACAAACCTTGCTGATTCTTATATACGACCACCTTCCATGCACAAGCAACAAGTCTGTGAGAAAGCGAAACTGTGCAATTGCGAAATCACTAGCCATGACAGCCTGCATGCCTTCCAGCCCACTAATCCCAACACCAACATGAGCTGCCTGAATCATGCTAACATCATTGGCTCCATCACCAATACTCAATGTAATCTTTTTGGCACCTTTCTTCACCAAGCTTGTTACCTGCAAACATTCAAGAATTATTTAGGCCAACTTACAATGGGCATATTTTTTTACGACCATGTATAATGAAACAAAACATAGAAAACAAAAGGCCAAGTCTTCTTTCACACACACATGCTTACAACAACATAGGGAAAATTAAAGAGGTTGCAAATTATAATATTTAAAAGAACAAATTCCTTAGATACTGACCTGCGCTTTCTGAAGAGGAGAAACTCGACAACAGACCACTGAAGCACAATTTAAGCTCAAATTAAGAAGTGTTCCTCGCAAATTTGGATCTAGTGCATACATCAGGCACTTCCCATCTATTACAAGTGCTAGTTTTGGTCCAACGACAGTACGAAGAGTTTGTTGGGCTTCCTCAATGCAATTCTTTAGTTGTGTTTGGACAGCATCTTTTATAAATCGAGCAGCTTCCACAGGATCACCCTAACGTCATGAAGCATATGAGAATATATAAGTGAAGAATAAACTTCTTCAGGTGGAAAGCACCCATGAATAATAAATAAATAAATAAATATATATATAAAAAAAAAATCATAAAGAACTGAAGATAAACAGATAAAAAATAATAATAATAAAGATAGGTCCAACACAAAATGGACCCAACAAATGCTACTTACTCTATCTTCAACTTCTCTAATTTCATCTGTTTCAGAACTGATAATAAATTGTTTCATGTCATTGTTTATCAAGCTGCACGCTGCAAGGCATTCAGGAAGCAAGACCTTAGATATAAAAGCATAACACCCTTAGAAATTGCACAAAATTATGCCCAATAAATCAAACTCACCATACGCAATATTTATAGCTGTTTCCATTTTATCCCCAGTGAGCACCCATAATTTGATTCCAGCCCTTGCTAAAGTCTCGATACAAGCAGGTACCCCTTCTTGAAGCTTATCTTCAATAGCGGTGCAACCAATCAATATAAGATCTTTTTCTATAAGTTCAGCCACCTGTACAGCTCAAGACACAGAAAAATTAACCAAACTTGTACACTAAGAGTTTTTACAAAACACAAAGAACAATGAAGGCAAGCACAAAATAAGAATCACATAAAGAAAGCCAATTTCAAAGCACATAGGAAAAATAGCGAATGATTAAATTGCAGCAAGCAGAAAAGAAAAAGAAAAAAAAAAACAAAGACACAGTAAATAAGCAGACTAAAATAGGGATGAATTGCTTAATCAGAGAAATTAAACAAAACAATCACCCTCATTCGAGAGGATTCTCTCCAATGCTAAAAAATCATTATCAACTCTTAATAATGCCCTTATTACATTTATTCCCCAAACATTTCTACCATTTATAAAAGATCTCCTAGAATCTCCTAATAACCATCCTTATTGTGGCACATTACATGCTGTCATGAACACAAAGTCCCAAACCATAACAACCAAGAGGACAATCAGCGAACAACTGATTATGCATAGAGATAACATCTAAATAAATTCTTAAGGTTACATTGAAGTTTTAATTAGTCATATAAAACAGTTGACCAGCACATGTAATTTAGTCTAGCATGAGAGCAAGTAACATCACATATAGTAGTAACATCTAAAACTGGTATTAAATTGGAAAAAACATAAACAACACAACAACATTAGGAACTTCAACAAGAATAACTAATTTGATGTATCTTGGACGAAAATTCGTGTCAATATTTGAAATAAAATTTTAATAAAAATTTCATTCCAGCCACTGACATAACTAATTTACTCGATAAAGAATCTATGATTGGATAAATACCTCATCCAGCTTTCTTTCCCGATCCCGCAAAGAAGATTTAGCCTGAATAAATTTTTCATTCCAGGTCTCATAGACATCTGAGCTTATATTTCTATAGGCCAGACACAGTGTTCGTAACCCAGATGATCCAAACTGTTCCAAATGCTCCCTGGTAGATTTCTTTATATCCTCATTCCCTTCTCCTAATCTTTCGTATATGACAGTATCAGCACCCTGAGAGACAAATGTTTAAATGCAATGTTAAATGGTACCAACAAATTTTTAAATTTAGATCAATAGAAGCCATGAAGCAGTACCTTGCAGTACAAAATAAGTCTCCCATCAGGATATCGGCACACAACAGATTGGCGTTTCCGTGTACTGGTGGGCACAAAACAAGTAAGCTAGATATTGCAAATTAACTTCTTAAAATATTATATATATAAACAGTAAAGGTAAAAGAGTAAATCACCTATTAAACTCAAGGACGTTCAAAATTTCATAAGGCACATCCTCAATTTTACCCATTCTTTCAACATGTGACTCACGCACATATATGGTTGTTGGAGTACGCCTGAATGTAATGTAAGAAGAAAATGTTAAGAGCTATAGACACAGGTTTCTCATGCTTCATCACAACAGACAAGCATTCCCAAGATGAGTGAAATCATTTTACTGAGCAGTGAATTTCAAGTAGTATGGCAGGACCAAGGCAAACAGCATATCAAATCCCCAAGGAATTTTTACTATCACAATAAAGAGATAACTGACTTAAGCCTACTGTAGATGCAAACCTCTAATGCTTCTGCTACTCAAATAAACTTCCAAGGGAAGAGTGGGAAAGACAAGTTTTAATTTTCCAAGGGAAGGGTGGAGAGACAAGTTTTTAAACTTCCAAGAAAAGGGTGGGAGAGACAAGTTTTTAGGAGCCCATGTCGTGAGGAGAGAGATGGAAGGAATGCATATGAGATGAGGAAATTGATAAAGAGAAACCACTTGCCAAATAAAATGCATTGCAAGTACTTTCAAACTTCTCAAAAAGGAAAGTGTTTTGAGTAATTTAAAATAAAGTTACAGACAGAAAACCTGTAGAAGAAGAAACCAAAATTCTTAGCTGCAACAACTAAAGCTGCCTCATCAGGAGAAGCGGCTTGGTAGACAATTTTCTCAGGAGATTCATCGCCTTCAGGGAGCACTGTATGACAAATCGCGAGGCACCTGAAGAACTCCTAAACAAAAGAAGAGAAAAGAAGCACAAACATTATTAATAACGAAAAATAAAATATGCATAGTCATATGCAAAGAAGGATAAAGTAGATGTCAATCAATAAACTACTTCCAAACAATTTCACCATACCCGCACAATACAACAACCAACAGTGCCTTAATCCCAGAATGATGGAGTTGGCTACATGGACCAAGATTTTATCTCCTGTAATAGTCGTTGACAAACATTCCCACCATCACAGCCCAACACTAACAAAAATTATAAGTTCAGATTCCCACCCACCCCCCCCCCCCAAAGAAATTCCCATCCTGGAGCTTCCCCTCAATCCAAACTCTCTTCAAGTATGATGGTTTTTCTATGCTTGATTTTGATGAATCATATTCATATAGAGTTTATAGGCGCGTTTATGTACTTTATAGTTGAGTTTTAAGTCTTTTAGTCGCTTTTTATTGTCATTTATCATAAATTGTCCATTTTGTCCTCCAATACGCTTTGTTTGTGTTATCTAAATGTTTTAGATAAGGGTGAGCAAAAAATCAGGGTACATCAAGGTACCCTGAATCAGAACCGGAACCTATTGGGAACCGCAGGTTCTGAAATCGGAATATGTATTAGAGGTTCCGGTTCCAGGTAGTAAAATGGGGAACCTGTTGCAACACGGTTCGGTTCAGGTTCAGCCTTCAAGTTCTCGATTTTTTGGAATCGGAACCTTAAGGGTACCCTAGAACCTAATAAAAGTATTACTTAAGCCCAAATCATATACAGTATCAATTTAGGCCCAACTTTTAATAAATAAAAATAAATGTTGTATTTGCAAGTTGTAAGAGTTAAAAATTTATGACTCTGATTTTTTTCAAAATATATTTTTGCAAAAATGTACAAAATATATTAAAAGACAAAGTAATCCTAAATTAGAACCGCAACCTGCAAGTTCCATTCATTTTAAGTAACCACAGGTTTCGGTTCTGGTTCCATGAAATTTAACAGGGTGTCCTATTATGCTTACCCCTAGTTTAGGTGATTTTATAATCACTTGAATGCTTTCGAAGTGTTTAGAGTTGATTCGGGTGATATTCAGATGGAAAGTCGATTGACTGAGTTTGTTGATCGAAGATTATATGTTTGTGGATGTTGATTTTGAGAATTGTATGCATGAGGAATGAAAATAGCATCCACAAGGGCCGATATGCAACTTTAGGGAATGATTTTGGATTAGAAACGAAGTTAAACGATGGTTTAAAAAGTGGCAAAACTGACCTTTGTTCACTCATTTGGTACTCTTTTGATCATAACTTGAGTTCTACTAAGCGGATTGAAGTGATTCAAGTTGCGTTGGAAACTTGACTTAAAGAGCTTTCCAACACGCATATTACAACATATAAATCAGAAGTTATAAGCCCGTGAAGTTGACATTGCGCCTGCAGTGCGAGTGGGCGACAGGTCGCAAGCTAGCTCGCATATGCCGAAAGCAACAGCAGCCGCGAGCGATAGCTCACTGCTTCCCAAGCCCACAAGCTTACACAAGTATCAATGATTACATATGCTCGTTAAGGCTTGGTTCTTGGGTCGGTTGGCCGTCTTCAAGCGTCTTGCCATGACATCTTCTATTGTACAATCGTTTGACAACTTGTGTAATTTATATTTTCTTATTTCATTTATTTATTGATCTTTATTTTAGAATTTAGGGAATTATAAATATTCAAGGTGATTTATTTTCTCCTTATGCTTTTTATTATTTTTCTACGTTTGTTTTCTTTTCTCTCTAGTCATAATTTCTCTTGGCCAATTCAATGGATTACTCTTGAGTTTGTTACGTTAATTCTTCGAGGTATTTTATTTCTTTCATTTAATTATGCTTTCTTTAATAGATTTAGTTTTAATTATTTATTTCATACTTTAGTGGTTTATTTCTAGGGTTTGAGAATCTATGCTTATACAATGAATCTTGATTGGTATTATTAATATTTGATCATTGATTTCTCTTATTGATAGTGTTTTTATTGTTAATCTTGCAACTTGATCAATTTCTGATTAATTATTGCTACTAAGTCTTTAAATTAAAATATCATACTTTCATTTAATTATGCTTTCTTTAATAGATTATGTTAGCGACTAAACTACGTATGTTGAATTAAGAGTGTTAAGATCCTATCGTAGGCTTAGTAATTGCTCTACATACTTGATTGATTGAATTGTTAATGGTTGATAGATTTAGACCTATAAACATGATGAACCATAACCCTCGGCCTTTTTCTTGATTGTATTCTTATTTTCATTAGCTCAAACTTTCTATCCTAATTTCGTGATATAATTTAGTTTCTCTAATTTTTGGGAGGTTAGATTAAAAGTCATCTCTATAGGATTCGACTCTGCTTACCCTACTACATTGTTAGTTGGTTTTGTTAGGAATTTATCTTTGATAGGTGTACGACAACCTATCATATTTGCACAAAGAACTGGATATACATTTGCAGCAACAAGAACAAACTACAATACAAATTACAAAGCCAAAAGAGTTATCCTAAGCCTTTTAGTCTTAGTATTAGATTGTTTTAAGTCCGTGGTTAAGATAGCAATTACCCCAAGGAAGAGATATGTACGTTTAAGGAAAGATGTGAAAAGTGAGACCTCAAAGGTTCAGGATTATTAGTATCCCACAGCTGATCGCTTTGTCCTATTCATCTTCAAAGTTGTGGGTACTCATTTCACTCAAGAGGCAGTCGACAACCCAAATGAAACTACATATCTTTCTAATAAAACTTTTAAGATTAGGTATACTCAAAGAAAAACGAAGAGTTAATATAATCCGAATCTGGCTCATATACAACTAAGGGAGGACTTGGTTCTTGATGGGAAGCAGCCACGTGCTAAAAAATACAGGCAGTTCACCAACAGTTAAATTCTATCTCCTAACGCCTAACGTTAGACATGCAGGTAGTGTGTTTATCATTTACTTTTCCTTCCCATTGCGAGCTTCATAAGGGGTGTGTGAAACTTAAAAAACAGTGAGCCATAAGTCCCATAGCTCCATATGGTTTCCTTAAGCAATAAAAAATATCCGCTATATTGGAAACACTCTTTTAGAATCTTTGGACTGATGAAAGTAAGGCCATGTATTCACTAGATGGGAGTTGTAGTGGTGATGACAAGCTACATATAATATGGCCAAACTAGGTCTTGTGCCCAAAGCTAAAAACTTGATCCACATAAAACAAAATAGCCTATTTAGACACCATTAAAAAAAAATTAAAAAAAATATGCAACTCAAATTAAACAAATTCATGTTTATGTTTTTTCATATAATCAATATTACCTTGCAAAGATCAGGATTAGGCTCATTTCTCCATGCACCACGCATAAGCTTAACATCGTCAAAATTGAACCCTTTTTCTTGAATTGCATTAGCTGACTTTTGCACCTATCATAACAGTCCTGTGTTGAATTAGAGGAAGGAAAAAAAAAAGATCATGTAGCCGATCCCACTTATGGGATTAAGGCTTTGATTGATCGATATATATATTTGAAGTTTGAATATGCAAATCATACCTCCGGAAGTTTAGTGCCAATGCGCTCAGCCAAACCCTTTTCTATTTCAGTTATACCAGTTCCATAGATTTGACCTCCAATGGAACATTTAAAGAATTCCATCAAGTTTTGTGTAAGAGTCCCAGTTTTATCAGTAAATATGTATTCTACCTACACAACAGTGATGAAGAGTTAGCCCACTCAGAAGATCTAATAACAAAATGGCATAGAACAGAAGTAAAGAGTTAAATCCTATAAAATCTTAGAAAATTTCTAGTTCCAAAGATCATATACCTGTCCAAGTTCTTCATTAAGATTCGATGTCCTAGCCAATGCAGGGGTGTTTGTTTCAGCATGATACATATTCAAATCATTATTGATAAACTGAAGGGACTGTATAAACTTAATCCCCTGAAATGCCAAGAAAAAGATTTGCTTAGTCATCTACAAGTAATAAGATCTTGGAGAGAAATTTCACAGATCATCCAAGTTACCTCAATTGAAACATAAAGTGATATAGGGATGATAGTTGAAAACAGGGTGATCAATGTAAACATTGTCAAGATCATAACCTGCAATAACCATGCATATAAAAAATTAAAAAAATTAAAAAATTAAGCCAGGAAAGAGGAAATATTGAAAGCAAAGAAGAACATCACAATAACAGATTAATAGATACAAATGACATGCAAGTGTGCCCTCACAAAAGCATAAAGTAATCTTCTTTTTGAAGTGTATGTATGGTAATTTAAAGCAGAAAACACACCAAAAATCTGTTGCTTGGATCAAATTGACGTTCATCGGCTCTATCCAGAGTTCCTTGAAGAAGTCCCAAGTAAAAATACTTGCGGTTTACAAAAATACCACTGAGGCACCACAAAAGTTTTAAGGTATGAACATAAAATGATTTCAGAAAAATTACAAGTTAAAAAGTTGAAGGGCAAAGAGAAAACAGGTTCATTAACTCATTAAAAAAAATAAAAAAAAAATAATCCTTATACACAGCATACTCTACCTGCCTATAGATCCAATGAGGCACATCATAAATAATGTAGCAAAAAGAGCAAGAATCAATTTGTCAAGCTTCCTTTCCAAGGTACTTCTCTTCGAAGGAACATTCATAGTATTCATCATAACCTGTCAATTGAACCAGGGTTACCCTTAATAGATCTCAACAGACAGCAATACACTATCTGTAAGAGAAAATGGAAAACCATGCAGGTGAAGAAAATAGTGACATTCCAATAAAATTCTCTTGAAATACAGCCAACTTTATAATATGAAAAGGAATGAGCATATCTGCCAAGAATCTCAAACACAAGCGACACAAGCACATACCTTAGTCTCATGCCCAGAGTATATCACAGCACCAACAATGTATTCAGTATTTCTCAAACTGCAACCCTTTTGTATAATCAAATAAAAGAGTCAATGCCCATTCTGTCAGGGAAGAAAGGGCCAAACATATCCACTCCTCATGTAAAAAAAATCAAGGCATTGAACATAAAGATACAGTACAACAACATATATGATCAATATATTAGGTCATACTCTGAGCAAAAGCTGGTTCGGCGACAGAGGTAAAGTCTGCTTTTCAATAATGAGGTTGCCAGTGAATGTATACAAGGAATTATTAGGTTGTTCACACTGTACTTCACCTGGGAAAAAAATGACCTGATAAGCAAGTGAACAACCAAGACAAAGTACTCACACACAAGACTAGACAAATCATAACCTATTTGTTAGATCTGTTTAATTCCTTCCAGGCAGCAAACACACTACATTATAAGATGCAAAAAGGATGCACCAAGGCAGCAAAGCTACATCCCAGGCAGCAGACATTTGGTTCTATTAAAGTAAATAAATGATTCACTAACAAGCCAGGCCAGGCCCAATAATTATGCCCAAACCCGACATTTTTCAGGCTGGGCCAACTATGATCAGGTGTACCGTCTACCTTAAATCTATGGTACTGAAAAAAAAAAGTGTTCAAACATGCAACAGGGACAGCTCTGAAACACAAGCTAAAGAAACACATCAAGCAACTCAAAGTTGACAGATTCTAAATCTTACAGTATAAAAAAAGCGTAATGCAAAGGGGGTATGATTCAATTTGTCCGCAGCAATAACATGCAACATGCTAATAGCACAATTCATATTTTTTTTTAGTCATGCATCAGTAACACAACCATTACTTCAGTGTTTGAGAGAAAACATGCATAAGAAATATTAACACTTTCAACTTTCAAAGAAAAAATGTCATTTTGAACCTTTAAATTCAGAGGCCTTCTCAGGCGTCAAGAAATCCCATGTCTTCTCCAAAGCTTTCCGAATCTTCAAATTTGTTTCACCATCCAAATTTGACGTCTGCAATAAAAAAATACTAATCTAAATGTTCTGAAATAGAAAGAAATGGTACTTTACAAAATATATACACCCAAGAAAGCGATAAGACAGACCACTAACGAGGTTATACAAAATATATAGTCCCACATATTTCATATAGAACAACATAACTGCTTGACTATTAGATTCATGAACATAATTTTACCTCAACATAACACACGCCGTCTGCATTTGTGCTTGCAAGAAAAAGAATATCTGCCGGGAAATACCCATCTTGCTTAACCTGCAAACAGAAAATTTAAAACTACTTAGTCTATTACAGTCTTAGTAACTCACTTAATTTAAACATCAGGATCTATTTTGATTTTATAATTTTGAAGTGTATGGTTTGACAAAGATAATGACAGCTTGTGGTTGTCAAATCTATGATGTGTGGACTTGTAAGCAGATGTAAAACACAGGTATGGATCTAAGAGTGACACAGAAAGACAATACTTTGATCATATGCTGACACAATTATATAGTTTCTAAAATAAAAATAAAAAAAGACACTTGGATATTACAGATATATGTGTAAATTTACAAGACTCCATGGCTATTTAAATCTTGTAACTCAGAATTTTGCTACAACCTCAAGGGAACCCATCAAGTGCTTCGTCAGGGGGGGGGGTACTTATCACATTCTAATTGGTCAGTCGTCTTTGATACTATATATATATATATATATATATATATATATATATTTGAATCCTATAAAATTTAAAAAATCGATTAACACTTACACGGACAATATCGCCAACCTGCAACCTTTTCCAAGGAATACGTTCCCACCTCTGTCCTTGTAGTACATCTACAAGGGTATTGTTTACGGACAAATCATTCTGAAATCGCTTCTGTCAAACATAATCCAAAAAAACAAAGAAAATTTTATTATGAAAATCAGTGACAGCAAGTAGGTAAAATGCAAGTACACAGAACAGGAGTAGAAAAGATTGACCACAGGTTAATCTAATGGGTATCTTTTCAGAAACCCAGAACTATGAAAGACAAAGTAGTTTTAGTAAAAACTGAGTGAAAACTCACCCAATCTTCAAATGCCTCTTTCACAAGGGAAATGAAAAGCACCATACTTAAAGGGGCCACATTTGTAATTGGACTCACGGGACTGCAACAATAGAAACGAAATCATCACATCCATATGAAATTCATAAATGTCATTTAGAAAGTACCAAATATAAAATTGGGTAAGCAAATTACAAAGAAGCATAAAAGAATAAATCAATCAAAGAAAATAAAGGAAACAACAGTTGACATAAAAGGCAAATGAGAAATACTTGAAGGAAAACGGCAGTCATAAAAATGCAAATGTGTCAGGCCTATCTCTTATCCTTCAGGCAGGCTGAATTGATCATAGAAGGTCTAATATTATTTTCCACATAGATATTTTGATTATTATTACATAGTTAAAAAGTACATCAACAATACTCATCAATTAGAACTAATGTAATCGCCAGGCAATTTCATGACGACACTTGCAACGGTTTATAGTACATATGTGCGGAAGTTTCCACAGTTTGCAATGAAGACTGTACCTCATTGGTGTCCAAGATAAAATGGATATTGTCAGGAAGTACAAATTGGCCACCCGTCTAAACTGTCATAGTGATAAAAGAACACTTCATCAGGTCAGAGAAAATGAACTGTACAAGACATATAAGAGTAACAATTAGTAATCTTCCATGTAAGGATGTAATAATATACCTGTTCAAACAACCCTTTAGGCAAAAAGGTAAGAACATTGTACTTTGTAGTTGACACGGAATTCCCCTGAAAAAATCACGGCAATAGTGTCAAAAAATTATCCTTCTCCTCACAGAAAACAAAATATACTCCTGAGACAAACTAAGAAGTCAAGGTACTCATAACAATAGAGAGTTACTTTCCAAGTTGCAAAAACTAACATTCATAATTGCATATCGTACACCGATGTTCTCCTTTACACAAATTCATAAATTATCTCTTTTGCCAAAAGACATTGGGACAACTATTTCATTTATCTAAAAATATGAGTGATACATACATACCAGTATAAAAGATATACTCCCTTCTTCTCTATTGTTTTCCACAGTAGAATTGGGCACAAATTTTAAGGCCACACCATGTGATAGTTGAAATGTTTAAAAATAGATAGTGGGGCACGTGGCAATCTTAGGGATGAAAATAAAAATAAAACAAAACATAAATTGAGTTTTGTTCCCATTATTGTTTTTTTGTATAAGTAGGTTTAACTATTTAAAAAGCAGTTTAAGATATCCGTACTGTGTTGAAAACAGTAGGGGAATGAGGAAGTATTGGTTTATGTGAAGTTGACACAAACGACCATATATTCCCTTTTTCTTAATTAAAAAAGATCTACATTTAACTAGGAAATGCATACAATAATTCTGAATTACAATGGCCTCAATGGAGTGGATCCAAATCATTCCAATAAAGGAATAAACTTAGTTGGTTTGTTTCCTTTCCTCATAAGCAAACCAAACAGCCCCATAACTAAAGTTAATCAGTGTATACACGGAACATATAGCACTAACGAAGTATTCCCCTGCTTTTTTAAGTGAAACGTTTCTCGTAGGCAGGCATGCTAATGCAAAACTTTGACCAATATCATCTTTAATTATCAACATGTAAAATTTATAACAATAAAATATTAATAAACTATTTATTGAAACAATACCAACAAGTACCCACAAAGCAATATTTTTCTCTTATCTATAAATCACTGGCATTAGTCAAAGCGGATTAAATGAATAGTGTAAAAAGTCAAAAGTTTCGTGCTATGGACTCACCAGACACAACCAACCAATAACAGAGAAGAAAGCTATAGAAGAAAGATTGAGGCTTTAATTAACATAAATAACGGCTTTAATTAACATAAATAACGGTTAACACAATCGATAGGTTTAGCCTATCAAGCTCTTTACTAAGTTTAGCTCACAACTCTCTAATGAGTAACTTGAGGTCACAACTCTCCTAATGAACTATTCCAAAATTCTTCCTACCTATTTCCTTCCTTTCCCTCTCTATTTATACTAAGGACTATTAACCTAGTGAGCTAATAATAGTAGAATACCTATACTACCCCTCTTAGGTTGATCTATTACAAAAAAAAAAAAAAAAAAAAAAAAAAAAATAAAGGAGGGAGTAACAATTTTTTCCATTTTTCGAAAACATTTTTTTTTACAAGGAGTTAGTTTCGAAGACATTAACCACCCTAAAAAGAGTTAGTTTCGCGTCAGGAATCTCGAACATTAATCCGATCTACTTCATTAAGCAATGTTGTGTCGTTTTGACTCATTTACCTAGACGGATTGAAAACCCTTAACACTAACCCAATTTTTCGTGTCCAGTTCAAGTCATTTTGTATCACTTGGTACCAGTTCTTACAAACACCATCAAACTGCTATCAGTCTTGTGGTATTTATACATTGCATTGCAAGAAACCTCTAAACTATTGCATAAACAATCTTGGTTTCCTTTAGAGATTGTAAAATGGCTGCAATTCAGATTTTAAGGGGTTTAGTAAAGGTAAGAGAAGTTTTTGTCAGGACTCTCAAAGAGCATGCTTGGTCTCTATGGCAAAGCAGATCTCAAGGGTCCTTTCACAAGTCTTTTTGTCTTCTCAACTGTTTTGGACGAAGTCACTTGTTTAGCTTCATCGCTAAGCGCCACAGTCACAGTCTACGTGTCTTGTCACTAAATTGTGCAACGTGCTTTGGCCTACCCGGTGAAAAGGGCGCAAGCCTTATAATGAGAAAACTCTTAGAGCTCGTAAAAGCACAACTGAGTGTTTGATTTAGAAGGGACACAATTGTCCATTGGCGACAAGAGCAAGGGATGAAGGTCAATCAGGGTGCTTGTATGAGCAACGGGCAGGCACAACCATGGCTGATAACGAGAATATATCTATTATGAGGGTTTATCGGAATTTGAGGTGCTTTAAAACAAGTGGCACCACAAAATCTATAAAAGCCTAAAACACAGCACAAGTATTAAAGCAAGATAACAATAGATAACTCTCATTCATAAATCATCACTCCGTAATGAGATATATTTCGTAATTACATAGTTTCCCAATTGAACGGCAATTGGCAAAGCCTATAAAACATAATGAAAAGTCCAAAAAATCATTTAAATATTGAAAATAGGTTACATGTCAACATTAAGGCAATTGAGGAGAGTAACTCGATTGGAGAGGTTCCCAGAAATTAGGTTAAAGAGTTCTAATTTCCCTTTTGGTTTTCTACTCTTTCCATCAACTGATTTATTTTTTCTTTTCTTGTATAAAAAATATGATAAAAAGAATTCCAGAAGCAACTAACAAAAGTCCAGATAGTTGAATTTGAAGATATTCAACATGCCTGACACAAGCCATTTAAGAGGTATGGTTCACGTATACCACTAGTCCCTACTTCCCAAAAGTAGGGCAGGTGACCTTTACAGACTTTTATGCAGTAAATTCTTATAGCTGACTGGTACATCCAAGTCTCATTACATATCTTCATGTCCAAATATTAGACATAGTACTTCACATCTCACATGACAACAAAAAATGCAGGTAACATCAGTTGAAAAAACTTGAAAGTCATCATGTTTGCTCACTTAACATGTTAGGGCAAACATTACTTCTCACCCAAGGTCATCAACTTATACTCAACACCCATAAATCTAACTTCTAAGAATTAATCAACACCCATAAATCTAACTTCTAAGAATTAATTGATACCAGCCACTTTATCATAACAATAACGAAGTGTAAGATTAACAGATTATATAAAGGCACTCTCGTCAGCAAGAGCCTGAAAGTTTTAACACCTAAAACTTTATCCTCGTTCCTTTGCATCTCTTAAAGAGCACAACAAGAGTTACTAAATCATATTCATTTTCCTTTGTACTAAGTGACAGACAATTAACACTCACCACCATTCAATTTCCATCTTTCAAGGTTTTAATTTTGGATTTTTATTTAGCAAACCTTATGACCCACAAACAGCTGTATTAAGATGTATGGGGTTTATAAAGTAGCATCATCAATCCATAAAAAGAATGATTAAAAGTTTCTTCTCGAACTCCAACTGCTTCCATTAAGAGATTCACAAACTAGTGATTGAGACCAAAGCCAAGATCTAAAACACATTTGCTAAGGAAGAACAAAGAGTCCGTGAGTCAACAGCAAATCTTACAATAGAATCATTACCTTTAAAAGAACAGAGAAGTTTGGATAGAATCTAGCACTCTGGCCTCCGCATGACCTAGCACAATAATCAATTCAGGTATTGCAGGCAACGCCTTGTAATTCAGCTTGTTGTGTTGGGCTAAGTCATCAAATTTTTGTGCCTAATTAATTTCTGCTTCAAAAAGTAATACATAAACCTCCTTACTCTACACGTAGCCTCTTTCTACAATCTAAATCCTCAAGATTAATAAAACCTCCTCTCTTCTGCTCGGTGGATGTAACTAACGTGTTTTTCCCCATTTAATACGTGAGTATCAGTTTATAGAACTCTCTTAAACTTCTGTGCATACATTATAGTCTTATAACAATCCAAACTCAACCTCCAATCCACTCCCATTTCTCATTTAGCAAAAAAAGAGAGCCGAACAAAAACTAAAACACACTCGAATTCGCCACGAGTGGTCAACCACCATTTATTTGTTCCAATAATGTTAAAAACATGTCCAACAGACTTCAAATCAGCAATTCCAGAGGCTTTATAAAGGGTGCATTGCCAACTTGACATCCATATAAAAAATACTTTAATAAACGAAAATTAAAACAAATGCAAACCTAAATTCATCATCCAATCTCAACCAGCATAATAAGAACTTAAAACACAATTGCAAATCATAAAATGTACTCCGTATCACAAAATTGCAAATTAAAACCACAAAAAATGAAATAAAATTTTAAAAAATCTAGCAAAATGAAACCTTGAATTTGGCGAGGGAATTGGTATCACGGTCATTGCAATAGATGGTGCGATGAGTAGGAGCCTGAGGTTGAACACGACCGAGTCGAACCGTCCGAGTGGAAGAAGAACGATCCAACCCAGAAGAATTCCTGCCGAAACCCGATCTCGATGACGATTCAATCCTATCCCATCCCGCCATCACCCACTCTCTCTTTCTTCTTCGAATTCAACAGCTTCCAATCAAATTCAACAATGGCGGAACTTTATGGGAATTTTTCAATTTTCAATATTTTTTAAATTTTTTTTAAAATTTCAATTTGGAAATTTGAAGAGGAAGATGAAAGGATGTTGTTCAGAAATGAGTGGGAACACCAAAAGATTCACCCTCCATTTTTAATTTAATTTAGGGAGTATGTTGGTAGTTCGATCGTCAGGGTTGAATGGGTCGGGTTGAAGTTTTTGGTTTTCAAGTTCGAAGAACTTCCCCAGACTTTTTTTTTTTTATTATTCTTTTTTGGTTTTATGATTCAGGTCCTTTGAATTTGCGGTCTTCGCTAATTGTTTAACGGCGTTGAGGATTTTATCTTCTGCGTTTAATCTCACCGCCGACGCGACTCTCTACGCGTGAGAATATATCTATTACTCCCTCCCTTAAAGAACGACTTTTTTGGGCTGATTCGCAGGTATTAAAAAAATGAAAAAGCTAACACGCGCGAGAATTATCATTTTGGAACTAGATTTATGTCATAAGGGTCATTCTTTTAGAGACGGAGACAATACTTGTATCACTCTCCTTTCTCTTATGGGTAGCTAACACGAGCGATGCGCGCGCCATAACTAGTCATATACATAATCTCTTTTGGCTTTGTCTTATATCACAAACTAGCTTATGGTCCCGTGCAATGCTCGGATTTACCAAAATTCATAAATATTTTTATTTCAACAACTTTTTTATGATTTTTTTTATAACAAGTATGAAAAAATTCGATATTCTGCTAATTATATTGAAAATTATGCATATCTTTTTAAATAATGTTATTTTGTTTAAATTTTCTATAAGTTATTACAAAAATGTTTTATTGAATTTAAGACGGAAAGATTGCGTTTAAGTAGGAAAGAAAATATTATAGTGTATTAAAATTGCCTAATAAAATCTGACAAAAAAAGGGAAAAAAAAGTGGGGGAAATTATTTAACCAGATTTTGCCACGTGTCATTTTTTATTCGCCTTTACTATATAGTTATGATTATGATGATTGCTTAATAAAATCTGACAAAAAAAGGGAAAAAAACAGTGGGGGGAAATTATTTAACCAGATTTTGCCACGTGTCATTTTTAATTCGTCTTTAGTATATAGTTATGATGATTATTGATTGATTGATTTAGTTATTGAAAGCATAATGAGAGAAAATATATAAACAAATATATTTGGGAGTACAAATGTTCATACATTATTATTAAGAGTTAATTAAAAAAAAAGGTAATTATCAATAATATAGGCAAATAAGTAAATAAATATTTTAGGTGGTATAATTGTCCAAACACTATTTATTAAAAAAAATTGTACATATTAGTGAGGATATATATGTTAATACACATTTTAAAGGATATAATTGGCATACAACTATTCATAAGAGTAATCTTGTACTTTTTTTAAGGTAGAGATACACAAAAATACTCCCTAGGAAAATATTCGAGGCGTGATGGGCCGCTACCAGGTATGGTCCATACCAAGAAGTGAAAACAGTATAAAATCAACAATAACAGTAAAACAACAAATAACAGCATAATATAAAGATTCACTCTTTCCTCTTTCCCACTTTCTCCATTGGAAATCTCGTTTGAATTATAACAGTACAAATTATAAAATAACAATATATTTATCAATAATAACAGTATAAATCGAAACAAAAAAAAAAGAATTTGGTATGGACCACACCAGGTATGGGCCTATACTTACTCGAAAATATTCCACTCTTTAGCCTCTTTTCGTTTCAAAATAAACTAGCTTTTTTGCCCGTTCTACACACGAATTGTGTATAACTTATCATTTATACATAAAATTTACAAATTACTTGATTAACTTCATTTCTTCATGTTTTAACATATAAAAATAGGAAAATGAAAATTAACAATCCCACCTTTAGTTTTCTTCCAAGAACAATCTCACCTTTTGAAATTACAGAAACAATCCCACCTCGAACATGAATCTTCCACTATTGGGGGTTTAGTTTTTAAAGCTAGGTGGGGTTGTTTAGGGGCAATGGGTGGAGTTTTCAGGGTGGGGGATGGGTTTTGGGGATGGTTATAGGGTTTTTCGGTGTGGTTGGACCGTTGGAGAGTTTCGTGGTGGCCTGGAGGATGAGGTGGCGATAAAGGGTGATGGTTGGGATGGCCATGGTGGTGAATTGGTGGCCGGAGAAGAGATTTAGTGAAAAAAAAATAAGAAGAAAAAAAATAACCTGTATAACAAGTTGTAGGTCAAAAGGATCATTAGTGGAAGATCCCTGTCAAAGGTGGGATTGTTTCCGGAATTTCAAAAGGTGGGATTGTTTGTGGAAGACCTACTAAGGCCCCGTTTTTTAGAGCTACTTTGCTCTGCTCTGCTCTGCTGAAATTTGCTCTGGTCTACTCTGCTTCAATCTGCTCTGCTCTACTTAAAATTAATACTTAATATTGAATTATTATAATAATAATAATTCATATTTAATAATAATAATAAATAATTAATATTTAATAATAATAATTAATATTTAATAAGAATAATAATAAATAATTAATATTTAATAATAATAAATAAATAATATTTAATAATAATAATTAATACTTAATATTAATAATAACAATAATTAATTATTGATATTTAATAAAAAGAATAATAATAATTAATTATTAATATTTAATAATAATAATAATAATTAATATTTAATAATAATAATAATAATAGTAATTATACTAATAGTAATAATAATACTTATAACTAATAATATTAATTATAATAACAATAATTGGTTTTTATAATAACAATTAATATTAAGATAATAACTAATATTTAAAGATAATACTAATTATTAATTTTTAATAATAATAATAATAATTAAATAATATTTAATAATAATTATTATTATAATTAATATAATAATAATAATTAATTTTTAATGATTATAATAATAATGCGATAGTAGTAGTAGCAGTAGCAGTAGCAGTAGCAGTAGCAGTATCAACAGTAGTAGTAAAAAAAAAAAAACCTCAAATGCACGAGATTTGAGTATTGTTGATTTGGAGGGTTGTGGTGAAGTGACTCTGCAATTATATAATAGATATGTTTTACATCAAATAAAATTCTCCTTTATTATTAAATCTTTTTCTAGTAGAGTGCGCTAAATATCTTGAAAATAATGATCCAATGACATGCAAGCAATGTTATGTTATGAAATTTCCATCTCTTCGAAGACATATGATGATGTGGAATTTTTATAATATTCTTATAGAACTCATTATTTTCTTTACAAAATTAAGTCCCCCCTCATTTTTTTCCTTTTCAATCATTATCTTCATTATTGTTTAATTAAATTGAAAGATGGAGGGCAAAGAGGAAAAGGATAAAATAATTCAAATTGTTGAAATTTGAGTGGAGCTTATATAATATATAGAGTTATTTAGAAATAAAGGAGAGACCTAGAGAAATTCTATAAATTTAAGGAAAAGGAATAATTATATAGAAAGGTATAAAGGGAGGAGCACACGTGGCATCTTCGTTTTGTGCTTTTAAACATTAAAACTAGCGTATAGCCCGGGTGTTGCCTCGTTTGCTACTTTTTTTAGTTATGCAACTGTTAATTTTTTAAAGATATTTAATAGTTTGTATGTGTTTTCAATACTTTTATAGTATAACATAAATTTGTGTGCAAGACTGTAACATAAGTGAGAATTAGTTAGATGGTTAAACAATGACTTTTTTTCTTAGAGGTTGAGTGTTCGAACCTCTTCGTCCACATTTTTTTTATTAAGTTGAGGCATTATATAGTGTTATTGCTGGTTACACGGGTGACGTGGCATATTGAAGGTGAATTGAGTTGATTACATGGCTTATTAAGAAATTGAGTATATGACGTGGCGCAATGAGGAGTTTACGTGGCATATAGACGTTTTTAGAAACGTCTTTTAATATATTAAACTAGTGTGTACCCCGGGCGATGCAAAAGGTCAACAACAATCAATTATAGTTGCAAAAAGTCAAAAGAAGCATTAGTACTCCTAATTTATACTTCAATTTATTTTTATCTATACTATATATCTATACTATATATTAAAAGGCGTTCCTTTTAAAGGAACGGTGCCACGTGGCACTCTTCACAATATGTGTGTCATGTCACAATGTCACGTCACCAATCAAAGTATATGTGCCACGTAAGCTAGCTACTTCATTTAGCAAGATAAAATATGCTTTGTACAAGATTTGAACCCTTAATCTTTGATATATACAAGTGATACATTTACCATCTTAACCAACTTATATTAATGTTTTTAATTTCAATATTATATATTCCTTTCATTTATTAAGTAAAAAGGCAATATAATTAATTTATTTTTCATAAGATTAGAATATATAATACATATAATGTAAAAAAAAGTGACACCCGAGACAACGCTTAAACCACTATACACACTAACTATACAAATGGTCAAACATAATTATTAAATTAAAGAACTACACAAACTAGTAACCCAGGGCATCACCCGGGGTACACACTAGTTTAATATATTAAAAGACGTTTCTAAAAACGTCTATATGCCACGTAAACTCCTCATTGTGCCACGTCATATACTCAATTTCTTACCTAATTGTATTGAAAAGGCAATCAGATAACTCAAGTGGTTAAGATAACAAAAAATAATATAGTTGGTTAAGATAACAAAGGCAATATAGTTGTTAAAGCTTCTGATTGCTATATTGAAAAGGCAATATAGTTGTTAAAGCTTCTGATTGCTATATTGAAAAGACAATATAGTTGTTAAAGCTTCTGATTGCTATATTATTTTTTGTTATCTCAAGTGGCAATATAATTGTATTAGAAAGGCAATCAGATAACTCAAGTGGTTAAAGATTCTCTTCCGATTTCAGGAGATGTTGAGATCGATTGTCACCCCACCCTTCGTGGCTCCCTAAACAACAACAACAACAACACACACACACACAAAACACAAAACACAATAATAATAATAATAATAATAATAATAATAATAATAATAATAATAAATAAAAAATAAAAAAAATAAAAATAAATAATAATTATAATTTTGTAAAATGGTCAATGACTTAGGCCCTGTTCTTTTGAGCTTCTGGGCAGAGCAGAGCAGGGGTCAGCAAAGCAGATCAAATTAAATTTCAGCAGAGCTGACTTAGGCCCTGTTCTTTTGAGCTTCTGGGCAGAGCAGAGCAGGGGTCAGTAGAGCAGATCAGATCAGATTAAATTTCAGCAGAGTAGAGCAGAGCAGATTTCAGGATAGAAGAGCAGAGCCGAGCCGAGCAAAGCAGATTTCAACATTATTATTAATGTTACTACTACTACTACTACTACTACTACTACTACTACTAGCAGATTTCAGGATAGAAGAGCAGAGCCGAGCCGAGCAAAGCAGATTTCAACATTATTATTAATTAATGTTATTACTACACCACTACACTACTACTACTACTACTACTACTACTACTACTACTACTACAACT